AAATGGTGCTTAGAGAAAGTGGGTGTAATTGCTTTGGTCTCCCTTTAATGCAGTCCTCTGAAAATGAATACACTGCTACTGCCCCACGCTCAGTAAAACATAGGCATGGAAGGTTCTCTCTCCAGCAGAATGGCATGTTACCCTGAACCATCCTCATCTCAACTAAGCTCAACCAGATTTGCTTTGTGTCCTGCACTATCCACAGCCACGCCACCCACCCCACCCAATGCCTGCCTGACCTCTTCCCTTGCGTCTCTTCCCTTGACCCCAGGACCCCAGTAGAAGTGAGAGTAGAGTATCATTAGGAGCTGAAGACTTTTGATTGACAACTGTTTAAGCCATCTCAAAAAGGCTGTTGTTTCTCTCCCCGCAGGTCTATCCAGTGTCCACAAAAAGCGGGTCTCGGCTGCTCGTCTCCTGAGCCGTCAAAACCTTCAGAGTCCTAAATCCAGGTAGGGACACCTAGTTCACTCAGGTCACCCACCTCTGCCCCAGATGCCCCCACAATAAGGGGGGAGTCCTTGTTGACTAAGCACTGGCTTCCTGTTCCCATCCCAAGTGCCATTGAGACCCCTTTGTTGCTTTGTAGCATCTTGCTTTCCTACTTTCCCTTGGCCAAGCTCCAACCTGGAGTGACAGAAAAAGGAGATGGTGATAATCACTGTGGAAAGAGGAAAAGGAATGGTTTTATGATGAATTTTTAATATAGACCACACCCTTGTAGATCTGCTAATTGTACCATAGCATCTTAGTCAGAAATCACTTAGGCCAGGGCACTTCCTCCTTGTGGATGATTCTTCTCTGGACTCTTGAAAAAATGGCTACCCAGACTCTGCTTAAATCCGTTTGGAATGATGGGAAGCTCATTACCGCCCACTCTGTGTTTTCAAGTCCTTGTTGTTAGTAATTATCTTACTGTGGCTTAGCTCCAAAGCATATTTAATTAGCACTTCATTTTGACCCCAATTACACTGTCCAGTGACAACCAAAACAAATTCGAGTCTTTCAGACGAGAGACCTCCAAAGAGCCAAGGACCTTGACCAATCTCTCCTGGGTCCTGATTTCTTCTAGTCATTCTTCCTAAGACCTGTTTCCCAAGCCATTTGCTTTAGTAAAAGGACACCGTCTGTCCTGCTGGGAATGTCCTTCTCAGACCTGGTCACAGTGCAGTGGAGGTCCTGTGATCTCTGCCAAAGTGTACTCAGGCTATTATTACCATCTCTGATCTGAACACGACATACTGATACTGCCTGAGATTGCAGCCTTGTTCTGTCAGCCGTGCCGATCTCCAATTAAGCTTATATATTTGGTCCTCTTATCTATCAGGTCTTTTCAGAATGATCCAGCCAGGTCGCTCCATCCCTCCACTTTTATAAGTAATTTTTGTAGCACTAATGAAGACCTTGGCATTGATCCCTATTGAATGGAATCTTTTTCACTTTGCGGTTACAGCCCGTGAAAAATCTTTTGAAATCTTGATCCTTTGCAAAGCATAGGACAAAGAGTGGGCTGTCGAGCTGGACAGCCCTGAGCTCTGCCATGAAACAGCTGTGTGACCTTGGGCGAGTCCCTCAGGTCTTCTGAGCCCCTGTATCCTTACCTAAAATGAAAATAGTGGCTATAAAGAGTGCTGGTGTTTGTCTAGTGCTTTCTGTGTTCCAAGTACCATTTGGAGTTCATTCTGTGAAGGACCTCCCATAATTCTGACCATCCCAAGAAGTATGGGCTATTATCATTCACATTTTAAATGTGAGAAATGACAATTAGAAAATGCAAGGCTGTGACTTTTTCAAGGTCACACAGACTTAGTTTCTCTGACTCCAAAGTCAATAGGCTGAGTGCGGCGACGTATGACCTCCACAGCATTGCAGGGCTGCTGTGAGTGTTACAGACGACCACAAAGCAACAGTGTATCATGTGTTCCCATTGCTCTTCCTATCCATCCCAGCTTCCTATAACCTGCAAATTGAGTGTGCGTGCTTTCTTACGTGGACTTCAAGACTTCGGTCAAGTGATCAACATGATGAAGTCCTAGGGCTTCCATGTTCTCTCCTAGGTTCTCAAACATTAAAGAAATGGGTTGGGACATTGATCCCACTGAAGAACTAGTTAAATGCAATAATCAGAGTAGAACAATCTCTGACATAGGGAAGGACTCTACATTTGAAATCCTACACATCTTGCTTTCCATTTCTGTCCCGTGGAAAGGTATGACTCAAGTAGCGTTATAAGGGAAGGAACTGAGGATCTCCTGGAAATTTCTTTCAGCAACAAACTGTAAAAGACCGGATCACGAAAATGACTCCCTAAACCATAGGACATAAAAAGCAAGTTAATTTGCAAGTGTTTTGATGCTAAGTTGGACCAAAGTCGCAGAATAAACCCCCCTCCCACCTCTGGAAAGGGCAGCAGACTCTATGCTGAGTGATTTACAAGAAATTATTTCAATAAGGTTAGAAACTGGACGACAGCAGGATTAGTACAAAAAGGATCAAATTGTGTCTAGGTGTTTATCTCTTTAAAAGCCTGCTCTGTAGTACTGACTATTTTCAGACTTACTACCATTTCCAGCTTCATAAGGTTTTTGGTTTGGTTTTTTTTTAAGGAATAATTGAGTGAAAAAGCATGACATTCTCTCCCATTTTCCCCTGCCGAAGGCCAAAGTCTGGCAGGATATCACAAATCACCACGCTAGAGACCCTTAATTGCAAGCAAAGTGGTTAAGAGGAAGTAAACAGCCTTTTGAGAGTGGTCCTCGCAAGTCAAATCTAAAACGAAAAGTGACCACAGTGACTGCCTGACCAAGAAATAAATTTTCTAATGTATGAACACCAATTAGCAAACAATACAGAATAGACTGTAATGGAGCAGTAATGGGTGGGGTACAGATGGAGGTCCTAGGAGTCAGAAGGAGGAGGGAACATGCTAATGAGATTGGAGGAGGGACATCTAGGAAGAGAATGGCAGGAAGAGAAATGTAGAAGGGACCCAGTTGGCTTAAGCCAAAACCTCACGTGTCCTCCTCGCTTCTCACACTGCTCATCCAACTCTCAGCTGCCACCTTGAACAAAACCACGATCATCTCTGGTGTCTGAGTGGTTGCAGTAGACACCTCATCTGTCTCCTTGTTTCTTGGCTTTTCTCTCAAAGATCTAATTTCCAAACAGCACCCAGCATAATCTTTTAAAAACATACATTGAAGCCTATCACTCCACAGTTTCACACCCTCCAACGGCTTCACGCTAGATGTCGGAAACTTCCAAACTCCTTGCCATCACCGGTCATGATAAGGGCCCTCATGACGTGGCCTCTGCCCAGCTCTCTGGCTTTGTTCCACCAGTCACCCCTCTGTTAATCGCTCTCCAAACACTCCAGCCTCCCTTCTCTTCCTTGACCATGCCACACCATTTCCTACCTCAGGGCCTTGGCACATGCTGTTCCCCCTTTCAGAAACACTCTTCTCCCAGATCTTTGCACAGACACTCCTCATTGTCCAGGTCTCTGCTCACGTGTCAGATCACCAGAGAGGCCTTTCTGACCATCCTGTCTGATGGTCTCTTAGCCCACTGCCCATCACCACCCACCCATCCATGTCACCAACCCCATCTGAGTTCTTTTTAAGTTACTGCTCAATGAGAACAGGGTACTTTGTTGTCTTTATCAGTCTCTCCCTCTAGAACAGTGCCTGACACTTAATGTAAATTTGTTGAATGAATGAACCTTATTAACTCAAACCGTTCACAATGGACAATGTTTACCCTTTTCATTGAAGAATGAATATTAGCTTCCCCCCGCCCCACCCACCCCATTTAATGCTGGACATTAGCAAACTATTCTTTTCATCTGGAAAACTGTCATTGAACCGCTGCCAAGTGCATGCATGCACACACGTGTGTGTGTTATGCTTCTGTATGTGGGTATAAATATACCAGGAGCAGAAGCTACTCTTGAGAGAGCAATGGAGAGGACCCAGATGGCTGCTAAACCCTCCCCCCAATACTGCCCTTTCTTCCTCCCCTAATACTTTCAATGGTCTATATGTGCCCCAAGCTTTATAAATGAATGAATGAATGGCCTAGAAAAATCTAATACTTAGAAACCCCCAACAGAACTGAGATTTAAGACAGTCCATCTCCAGGCTAGTGCTACCCACCAGGGATCAGCTTCTTGCAAAGCTTCAAAGGCCAGCTCATCAAGGAGCCCTGCGACCGTGCAACCATTCAGCAAGCCATACCTGGTCAGTGGCTTGCAGAGTCCCCTTGGTTAAATTCCCAGCACAGACAGAGCCTGGGCCCACCTTCTAGCTAACCTGCCAACCTCATCCGCATTCCTGCCCCTTATCTCCCTGACCACCTTCTGCCGCCGTTCACGAGGACTTGGGGGAAGTGGCTGTGCACGCGAGCCAGCTCAGCAAGTTCGGGTCCTCCGCATTTCTATTTTGTACCGGCCAAAAGAACAGAGGCAAATATACTTCTGAAAGGAATCGTGATGATCTGGAAGAAAGTGGGAATTGATTTGCGGGCCTTTCAAAGGCTTCCTGTGGTTGTCTCAGGAGGCTCCCAAATTAGCAACCCCACAGCGCCCCCTGCTGGCTCTGGGCCTCTGCTAACTCCCTTGCTCAAGCTAGCAGTGGGTGAAGTCTTTGCTCTCCAGGAACCAAGACTGGTGTGAGCTCAGAGCAGAATCAGCCCGGCAAGTCCATATAATTGACAAAATGAGTGCCCCCACAGAGGGCAAAATCTGCCCAGGGAAGGAGAGTGGGATCCCAAACCCTAACACCCCCATTCACAATTCCAGTCACCAAGTTCCCTACCATACTAAAGACAGGAATTCCTCGCCTCAAGAAAACACTTGACACCCCAAAAAGCAAATGTGCCAGCATAGCTATTTTTAATAATGGTGGCTATTTGCAGCACAAAGGGGTTCTGGGTTGTGCCAAAAACTCCTTTAAATCACGAGTCCCATTAGTCTATTCAAGTGTTGATTTACATACCACGGAGAATGTACAAACTTCGTGTTGAATAGCAAGTGTCTCTCAACTGAAAACCAGTTGGCAACGAGGCAAAGGCAGATCAAAGCATTTGATTTACCCAAGTAGTCAACCCCAATGTGTTCAGGTAGTGTATAAAAATGCAATACCTGTACTAAAACGTTTAAAAGGACCAGAATAATCACAGTCTGGGAATTCATTCTGGAAGCTATTCACTTAGCACAGGCCTCCTGCGCTTGAAACACAAACATCAATGTGAAAGGGCGTGACCCGGCAGGCATAAATGAGGTTCTCTCTGGGTTTCTCCTTAGCGCTCTCAATTTTATAATATCAGTGCATTTGTATGTGACAAGAACCCAAGCTTGAGATGAAGTCCTTTTCCATCAGACCATGGTTGCAAAGGGTATGGAGCTTGGGATTCCTAAGAGAGATGGAATTTCACAAATTGGGGCCACCACTGTCTTGACCCCAATGGGGTGGCGGTGGTTTGATTGCTGAAAACAGAGCCTGTTTCAGCAGCCGGGAGACTGAGGTTCCTTCAATCAACAAATATTTCCTGAGCACCTACTATGTGCCGTGCACTGTCCTAGATGCCAGGAATAAAACAGTGGACAAAACAGACAAATGCTTTGCCTTCGAGAGTTTATGTTGTCCTGGGGGCCAGGGTGGGGCCGGCGGGAGGGACAGACCACAAACCAGGTAATGACGTAAACTCTACTCTAGGTCACAGGATGGTAACTGCTATGGAGAAAAGAAACGCAGGGGCAGGGAGATAGAAAAGAGGCCTGAGAGCTGAACCCTGGGGGTCTCCAATGTCCAGAGTTTGGGGAGATGAGAAGGAACCCACAAAGGAGACTAAGCCAGGGCAGCCAGAGAGAAGGTCAGGATGGCCTGGGGGTGCTAGAATCCACAACTAGGAGGAAACGAACTTCTGCGTCCAGTGCTGCATCCATGATCATGATGAGCCCTGGGAGCTGGCTGTTGGGTTTGCAGTGAGGAGCTCCTGGGTGACCTTGCTAAAAGCCGTGAATGGATAATGGGGACTGAAGCCTGGTTGGCATGGGCCCCAAGGAGAGTGGGAGCAGGGAAAGTGCAGTCACAGGATAGACAGAGGAGCAAAGAAAGGGGGCAGTAGCTGGTGGCCCTTATCTGATTGTCCCCCTGTGCTTCCTTCCAGTCGATCAACCATCTTTGTGCGTCTCCACACCAACGGAAATCAGGAGCTGCAGTACCAGCCTGGGGACCACCTGGGTGTCTTCCCTGGCAACCACGATGACCTCGTGAATGCCCTGATCGAGCGGCTGGAGGACGCACCCCCTGTCAACCAGCTGGTGAAAGTGGAGCTGCTGGAAGAGCGGAACACGGCTTTGGGTAATTACGGCCACGCCAGGCACCCCAATTAGCCATTCCCAGGGGCCCTTCCCTTCTCCAGAGAGTTCCAGAGGCAGTCAGTGTCTGGGACAGAGGAGAACCATTCTTCTCCCCAGTCGCCAATCCAGGTAGGAGAGTAGGACTCTGTCACCTACAGCTTACGAAATAGAAGACGCCCCATTCCTCTTGTCTGAACAACCTTGGCCCACCCGCTGTCCACAATGCCAGGACATCCGTGGTTCATCAGTGCGGGGAGGGGCTTCTACTTTCCTTTGTCAGCTAGAAACTGACGTTAGCGGTGCCCACTCTTTTTTCATTCCTTGTAACCACCGCCCCACTGCCCCCCTCCGCCCAAATAAATAGCAACTGGAATCTGACACCGCCTCCTCTGAGAACCAAAAGGCACGATATGAAGCTCAATGGTCCACTAGGAATTGAACCACATTTCTCATTAGGTCAAGTTCCAACCGGTGTCAGTGATCATTCTTGACACTCCCTTTGCAGAACTTTCAGAGGCAAATGGGTCTCAGTGCTTTGTCTCAATAGATGCGGGTGAGTTCAGGGCTCAGGTATGAGGAACGGCGGTGGCCTTGTATGACAGCTGGTGATATATCACCTGTACAAAAGAGCTAGGGTGTAAAGTCAGGGCAGAATGTGAAAACAGTACGTAGTCAAAGCCCTCCTGAAAATCCCTCAGGAAGGCACCACTTTGGAGAGACACCTTCTCGTAATCAATCCAACCCAGACAGTTCTTGTTTGCTCTGTGTTGGAACTGTGCTTTTTTTTATCTTGGGTTGAGTTCCTGATGAAGTAGAGGCTTGTGTGTCCCTACAAGGACCACACTGGTTATGTAAGATGAAAAGTACACAGAACCCGCACAGTGTAGTGGTTAGAACAAGGTCTGGAGCCAGACTGCCTGACTTCACGCTTATGAGCTGTGTGACTTTGGGCAAATTCCTTAACCTCTCTGTGCTTCCACTTTTCTCAACTGCAAAAGGGGATAATAATAGCACCTACCACCTCGGTTTTGTGAGTTCGGGGAGATGAGAAGGATTATATGAGTTAATAAAGTCCTGAAAATAGCATAGAAAGTACTAGGTAAGTGTTAACCATGTTTATAATTTTAAGCACTATCATCCCACTCAAAAGAGTGAGAGGCTGACACCGTGACAGGACAGACAGAGCCAAAATAGACTCACAGCTCACACGCGGAGGCTCACTGAGTAGAATGCCAGGGAACTGTCTCATGCTATTTTAATATTTATTTATTTTAAAATTTTTGGACTAGTTTGCTCACTTGATTTTGGATATGCCCCATGCACACATGAGATAATCACGTGGTACCCAGGACCCCAGGTGTAGGTGCAGGAGATGGAAGATGGAGAGCTGAGTTGGGCCCAAGCCCTCAGAGCTCAGACTCTCCTTCCCCCACGCTCTCCTAACCTCCATTGTGCCTCCGCAGGAGTCATCAGTAACTGGACGGATGAACACCGCCTCCCGCCCTGCACCATCTTCCAGGCCTTCAAGTACTACCTGGATATCACTACGCCCCCGACGCCACTGCAACTGCAGCAGTTTGCTTCCCTGGCCACCAGCGAGAAAGAGAAGCAGCGTCTGCTGGTCCTCAGCAAGGTGGGTCCCTGGCCGCCTACAACCTCAGGGGGCGCCTTTCACCTTCTAGTCCTTGGGGAGTTGTATGGTTATTATAACAGTTTCCCAGCAGATGGCAGTCTTGAGCAAGCATTGCCAATTTCCAGTTTGCAGAAAGTCGCCATATTGGCTAGTCCATTTGGGCTAGTCCTGACCACCTCCCCTCGTTCTAAGGCCTGACACAGCCAGAGTGACCACATTGAATCTCAAAAGTCCGTTGACCACAGTAGAAATTGCTCTTCCCTCTTCCTTTGGATCCCTTGAGCTTCCACTAGTTCCATAGTCAGTCAGTGCTTCGAAGAAAAAGAGAATCCCATGGTGCTCTGTTTTAAAGATAAGACCTTCCCATGCAGAGGAACTGTAAGTAGGACTTCAAGATACAGGAGACCTCTGATGGCAAAGTGAACAAAACAAACACAGCTTCTATCACCCTTGCTTAGAAACCAAGGACTCCCCTCCCCCAAGCTACTGCAAAGCCTTGCTCAACCCCAAATCCTACCTGGGAAAACAGACTTCTCCCAGTGAGGGCTCCTTCCCACTAAGCAAACCAGCCGCAAAAGATGGTTTAGCTTTCTTCTGCTGTATCCAGGAAAGGTGGTCAGCGAGGAAGAGGCTAATTCAAGGAGCACATTATTATTTAGAAATATGAAAATAAACAGCAGAAGAAACACTTAAAGAGCCGTACATGGCTACTTCTGGGGAGTTGGAAACAGATTGGAGAGGTGGAATAGGAGAGGGTTATTTTTCATCATAAACTGTGCAGAATTATTTAACTTTTTAAAACATGATGACTTTGCCTTAAATTTTTTAATGGGGGGATGGCTAATATAAAGAAGAACCAGAGCTTGCACTGTTTGCATGGGATTATTTAAAGTAGAATTTGATATAACTGTATGGATTAGTCCATTTCTGCCGAAGAATGCCAACTCCAAGATGGGGTTAAATAAGCAAGGATTTTTATTAAGGGAAACTCCTGTGTGAGGAAAATGGGAAGAGAGTCAGGTGAGGCTGGGAGAACCATCAGACCTCAAAACAAGGGTGACCCCAAGTGAAGGAGAGGAAAGGAAATTTGAATGGAAGTGCCCAGGGCTGCACGGGCATTCTAAGGAAGGACCGGCATAGGTGATCATGTCAGTTTCAGGTGGATGTCAGTTTCAGAGAGCAGCTCTTAGCCCGTGTGCCCCTGCAGTGGGAGGTCAGTGAGGCTCGAGGTCTGGGAGGCACGTTCTCAAGCATGCCATCCCCTGTCAACAAAGCAAGGATGGTCTTTAGGGATGTGGGGAAAAGCTTGGTTGTATAACGCACTTATCATGGGTTTTATCCTTCCTCACACTCTGAACCTCCCAAAAGCAATAAAGACTGCCCAGGGCAGTTTCTGAGATGTAGGAAAAATAACTCCAGAGCACCCAAGGAGTTTCTCTGTTCCCTAGTAACAGCGGGCTTTGTTGTCAACACTTGCCCCAAAAACGGTCCCCGACGCCCTAACCTGTTACTTCAGGGCTGTCATTTACCTTCTGAGCATGCTCACTGCAGATTCATCTCTAGGCTTGCCAACCCACAAATCGCAGGTCTGCGTGCTATACGTTCAAGTTATGACTCTCTCCTTGGTGTGTCTCTCCTGACCTTTATAGCAGGAGAGTGTAATGGTCAGGAGCCCAGATTCCGGGGCCAGACTGCCTAGGGCAGGGGTCGGCACACCTTTTCTGTAAAGGGTCAGGGTAGTAAATATTTAACCAGGTAGTAAATGCCTTATGGTCCATTTGGTCTCTGTCCCAACTATTCAACTCTGCCATAGTAGCACAATAGCATAGACAATACATGCTCGTAAGTGAGTAGGTGTGGCTGGGTTCCAATCCAACTTTATTTATGGACACTGAAATTTGAATTTTCTATCACATTCTTGTGTCATGGAATAGTGCTCTTCTTCAGATCCTTCCCCCCCTCCCCCCGCCATTCTACTCAACCATTTAAACATCTAAGCAGGTGGTGAGCCGGGTTTGGCTTGCAGGCAGAAGCTTGCCACCCCTGACCTAGATTCAAAACACAGAATCACTGGGGCTGGCCGAGTGGCTCAGTTGGTTGGAGCGCGAGCTCTGAGCAACAGGGCCTCAGGTCGATTCCCACATGGGCCAGTGAGCTACACCCGAGAGGAGCTGCTGCTGAGAGCACATGCTCTTATCAGCAAGGTTGCCAGTTCGGATCCCACACGGGGTGGTGGGCTGTGCACCCCCCACCCCGCAACTAAGATTGAACACGGCACCTTGAGCTGAGCAGCCACAGGTGCCCACATGGCTCAGTGTGCAACAAGGTTGCCAGTTCGACTCCCACATGGGATGGTGGACTATGCACCCCCACCCTACCACCACCACCCCGCAACTAGATTGAGGGCGGCAACTGGACTTGAAGCTGAGCTTGCGCCCTCCACAACTAAGATTGAAGGATAACGACTTGACGTGGAGCTGATGGGTTCTGGAAGGACACAGCGTTCCCCTCCCCAATTCTCCAATAAAATCTTTAAAAACAAACAAACAAACAAACTCAGAATCACCACCTTGTAGCCACAGGACCTCTAATATCCCTCAGTTTCCTTATCTATAAAATAGGGATAACAATCACACTTATTTCATGAGGTCCTAGCAAGAACGAACACCTGGCATAGACTAATTACTATAAGTGTTAACTATTATTATTTTTATTTGCCTTTCCCCACTCCGCCCCCGGACCTCCGCAAGCCCTCCATTGGAAATGTGTGCCAGGAGCTGAGTGCAAGTTTTCCTCTGTCCCTCTCCTTGGCACAGGGCTTGCAGGAGTACGAGGAATGGAAATGGGGCAAGAACCCCACCATCGTGGAGGTGCTGGAGGAGTTCCGGTCCATCCAGATGCCTGCCACCCTGCTCCTGACCCAGCTGAACCTGCTGCAGCCTCGCTACTATTCCATCAGCTCCTCGCCGGACATGTACCCTGACGAGGTGCACCTCACTGTGGCCATCGTCTCCTACCGCACCCGAGGTGGGCAGAGGTGCTGGGAGACACTCTGAGTGCATTTCCACCCGCACCCCGCACCCCACCACCAGGGGCCTCTGCAGGTCTGCCAAACCCCTGGGCAGAGACGCACCCCCAAACCAGGAAACTGAGGGAGGAAGCCGAGCAGGCAAACTGCCCCCTTCTTCGGCAGAGCCAACCCCGTGCAGAGTTAGGCAGGAAGGAGGCGAGATGTGTGTTACTCCCCACACCTGAGACCCCTTTGTACTCCCTTCCTCCCCTCACACCCCCAAGGCAGGAGCTAGAACAAGGCACCATCCCCCATTTCCTCGGAGAGGGGAGCTCTCTGCTGCAGGATATCCCACTGCTTGTAGGTCAGGCAGATAACCCGACTTTTGGCTGACTTTTTTCCTCCATGCTTTTCTTCCTTAATAAAGCAATTAAAATGCACCGTGCCTGGGAGAGCTCTGAGACTAGGATCCCAGCAGGCCACCAAGAGCACACTAACCAAAGCCCTTTCAGTAGGCGGAAGTTGAATCCGACCCACCCCAATGCAGCAGAACCATGGGCACGCCACGAGCTCACCCCAAGCTATACCATTTCCTCTTCCCCTTCGGAGGAAGGAACCCCAAGATAGAAACTTGGCATTGGGGGCTGTGAGCCTTCTGGTCTAAGGGGGGAGGGGGAGGCCAATGACGGAGAAGCTTGGGGACAGTCGGTGAGGCAGACCACCTTGATTATTCTGCCAGATGGAGAAGGACCAATTCACCACGGCGTGTGCTCCTCCTGGCTCAACCGGATACAGCCTGATGAAGTGGTCCCCTGTTTCGTGAGAGGGTGAGTGGCGAAGGAAGAGAAAGGAGCGTCCACCCCAAATCTGTGTACTGATGTCCTGAGTTGGGGTGGGTGGACCAGCCCAAAGGGTTCTAGAGAGATGGCTGAGCCAGATGGGATGCAGGTCAACATTCTGCGTCCCTCCGAGTTGTTAAGGAAACAGGATCATGGGACAGAAGCTAAGGACACCTTCCACTCAATGCCAGGTCAATGCAACAGATAGGTATCAAGTGCAAATACTGTATTAGAGGCTGGGGCCACAGTACAGAACCAGGCAAATGCAGTCTCAGCCTTCAGTGAATTTGCAGATTAGGGGAAATTCTATCCACATTTTACCAGACACCCCATCTGTCCCCAGT